AAAAAAAAAAAAAAAAAGTGGAAAAATTCTCATGGCAAATTTAGTCTACATTCTTTAAAAGCATCTAGTTCTTTTAGCAACTTAGTGTTACTAATACTAATCATGCCAGACATAAGTAATGGGCATGTCACAAGCCATGAAGTTCATTCCTCCTAGCCACTGACTGAGGAACTGCAGGACCAAGAAGCTGTTCTGAAGGTATTTTCTCACTAGAGCAATACTGTTTGAGCATGTCTGGTGGTTGAGGTCCCATTTGTCCTGCAGCTTTTCAGCTGAGTGTTTCCTAGGCCCATTACCCAGTAGAAGCCATTCAGCATCTGCGCTCTGCACAGCCCCTTCAGCTGCAAGAATGAGTTCTTAGATTACTGCCGAGACTTTTTGTGGATAAATGACCTTTGGGGAAGGTCCAGGGATGGAGGAGAATATGATAACCCAAGTCATGATCAGCCAACTATCACTCTGTGCAGGTTTAAAATAAGCCCAAGTCTCAAAAACCCATGTGTTTTAAACTTGGAAGACTTATTGATGTGCTTCTTTTTAATACTGAAAAAAGCGAAAGCAGCAAAAAACATAAAGCCTGGGGCCTTTAAAGATGAACCCTTGGAGAGATCCTCCCTGGTGTCAGAGTTGGTGCAGTCATGCAGAGGATTTAGGAAGGTTGCTTTCGTTTCTGCAGGTGCTGTTACTCCGGTTCAGAGTCTGGTAAAACTGCCTTTTAAAACAATACTTGTTACATAGATGGAGACTGCGAACTGGGAAATATTGCATAACTGCAGAGCCCTTCGTGGTCATTGGCAGCTTTTATTGTCAAGTGAGATAAAATGCATGTAGAATAAATGTATCCATTTTGAAGTCACATAACTGTGCCATTCTGTACATTTCCAATGTCGTGCACCCACTACCTCTTAGTTTCAAAACATTTTCGTCATTTCAGTAAAGCTCCATAGCCATGAGGTGGTCACTCTGCATAGGTCCCGCTCCCCAGCTCCTTCACACTCCCAATCAGCTGCACCTATGACTTTACTTACTCTTGGTATTTCTTGTACGTGGGTTATACAATATATGGTCACTTGGGACTAGCTGCTTTCACTTAGCTTGAAGTTTTCTTTTTTCTGTCTCAACAATATTTCATTGTCTGTGTACATCATGATTCATTTATCCGTTTATCTGTTTATCTGTTTATGGGCATTTTGGCTGTAGCTAATAATGTTCCTGTTAACATGGGTATGTAGAAGCCTGTTTTCAGTTCTAGGAAAGGACTAGGAGTGGCCTTGCTGGCTCACTGGTAAAACTGCATTTAACTTTTTAAAGAACCATGAAACTATTTTCCACACTAGTTTATGCTTGCACCACAGTTAATGGAAAAATATTTATTCACACTCTCAATGCTTTCTCTGGGCCCTTCTCTGGCCTTTACTCCACCTTCCCCAAAAAAGGTGATAATCACTTGCTTGATGATAGGGTCTGCTCTTCTACTTGCCTGCGAATCTACCCATAGATTTTTGGAGATGTCCTTTCCTGTGAGGGAAAGCATTTTGAGATGACTCCAGTGCTGCATAAAGTTTCTTGACCTCATGGGAAGTCCTCTCACGAGTACCAGTGTACACTGACAACAAGAAACACTCTTTTCTGTCACTCTTGTTTTAGGTAACACGTCACCTTGCCAAACTCTTTGACAGCATCGTGGACCTACAATTTGAAGATAATCAGGATGTCACTGCACACAGAGCAGTTGGAATGTACAGCAAAGAGAAGGAGCATGTCGCATTCCAAGCTGAGTGTGACTGCATAGGCCACGTAAGACGGGATTGTTAGTGGACTTGGGGATGGGGCTCAATGTAGGGTGCTTGCCTGGGATGCACGGTGATGAGGTATGTGCAAGGTTCTAGGGCAGTCTCGGTGACTTTTCTCTTGTTGGGACAAATTACCCAACACCCAGAATTAAGGGAAGAAAGGTTTATTTAGCTCACAGTTAGTGAAGGTTTCAGTCCATACTTAGCTGACTCCAAGTGGAACATGGCAGAGGGCAGCTATTCATGGTGGCGGAAACCCTCAAAGCAGCAGGAGCCAAACAGGAGGAGTGGTGGTGGCAGCAGCAGGAGAGCAGAGCCTCTCTCCCTTCTTTATATTGCATTCGGGCTATCCTCGGGTGTAGCACTTACACCCATAATCCCATCAGTACTCATACCCATAATCCAGGCATTGGATCGTGAGTTAATCACAAACTCTAGAAGCTGCCACATGACTGCAGGAGGCATTGGAGGGACAACCAGACAAATGAAAACAAGGGGCAGCTCCCAGCACTGCAAAAACAAAAAGGCTTGATGATGAGGTTTTTTATGGCAGAAGAGTATCCTGAGTCTAACTGCAAAAGGTTCAACTAGGCCCAGCCAAATAGCTCAGAGCGTTAAAGTGCCTGCTTAGGCAGAGGCAGGGACCAGGGCTTGATCCCTGGCATGCCATGCTGGCCCCACCCCCAGGGTGCATTGAGACTGGGCATGGTGGCACATGCCTGTAATCCTAGCATTTGGGAAGCTGAAAACAGGCAGATCACTACAAGTGCAAGCTGTGCAGTGAGACCCTGTAGACCGTGTACTAAATACAAAACAAAAAAAAAAGAGAGAGAAAAAAAACGGTTCAACCGAACAAGAAAAAAGCAAGTCATGTCAGACCAAGTTCTGGTGGGCTTTGTGCTGGGTGATTCCTGTTTACACGTTTCTGTGGTAGCAGAGGGCTGTTCTCCAGTGTTTACCTGTTTCGGCTCATTTGGCTTCCTCATCAGCAGAATGCCAGATGCGAGTAGTTGAGCTAGGCAGAGGTATTGAGCTGGGCAGATGGCACGAGTGGACTAGAAGTAGCGGCAAATGCAGCCCCGCAATTGCGCCTTCCACAGAGTCCATTGCTTTCACTCCAGCTCCATGAATAGAGGAAGGGCTTGACTAAAGCAGCAACTTGGAGTAACACCCAAAAGGTGCTGCATGGCTCAGTATTCCAATGTGAGTGTTGCACATGGCTGCTCTTAAGAAAGGCTGATTGGCTACCACGCTCATGTCGCATGCTATGATTTGTGCACTTCACATATTAACTCTCACAACCAAATATCTCAGAAACATTTTAAATAGCTACCCAACACAGTGGCTCACCATGATCTGCAACAGAGCTTTTTGGTGTATCCAGATGATTTAGGTGAGCTACACCTTTTTTCTGATGCTGCTCATATAGTTTGGGTTAACCCAGAGTTACCAAGGGTGCATCATGCGCCAGAGAACCTATTAGGTTGGGGCGACGACTTCCGTAATGTGTTCTTTGAAGAAATATGATGGTGACTTTATTTTACAAGGGTTTCCTTTACTCCTCTGTTGCATTTTAATATTGTACCAGGAAAAATCCTGCCAAAGGAAGGGGAAGCAGATGGCAGAGTACTCTGATTAAAATATATTTTTTGATCTCTTGGGCTTTTAGGATATTATTACAATGATTAGAAAAAGTCACCATAAACTATCTTGACAAAAGTGTGCTGCTGTCTGCTGCCTTCCTAGCAGACAGCTCATGTCCTGGCATGGTGCCTGGAGGGGGACAGTCCAATTGATGGATGTGATTGTCACCAGCAGGAACACTTGATATTGAAAGTTTGTAGTGCTCTAATATATTCTATACAAACAACTTGCACTAGAGACTTTTTCTGAACATAGATTGCATGTACTGCCCAGTTGCCTTTGTCTTATACAGTGATGCTTTTTACTATGTCTTGCTTCAGTTTTCTAATCAGCCCACCCCAATTTAGTCTATTTATATTTTATTTCTTGAGTGTTTGTCAAATAATCACTATGCATTAGATGCCATTCGGTTTTTAAGAACCCAGCAATGTAGAAGACATGGCCCTTGTCCTTGAGAGGCCTTTTGGCTCATTGAGGACATGGGTGTGCACATAATTATAGTGGGAAATAGTAATTGCTGTCTTCGAGGGTTGGCAGAGGTTGCAGAGTGTCAAAAAGGGAAATATCCTGCAGGCGAGCACCTCGTCTGAGTTTAGCTCCAGACTCAAGTTGCTGTCTTCACACAGTCAACTGCGCATGAGCTGATATGTTGGCTTGTGAGCACGTTTGATCTTTGCAAATAGATTGGAAAGTTGCTGGGGACAGTGGTTATATTGAAGACAGTGATCCCCAATAACATGGGAGATGCCCAAGTAATGGCCAGTTTATTGAGTGTGTAATATTTGTTGCCTGCTGGCCTTAAAAGTTGTGTGATTGAAGGGGAGATACAGGATCCCACTGATTAGATTGCGAAACCTGAACCCATGCATGTGAACAAAGTCCAGCTGTGCGCCAGGGAGCGGACTCCTAATGTGAAATGCTGGGCCATGGGCTTCGTTTTCCTTTCAAGAGAAAGGTTGTCAGCAAATTAACCACCTGTCACTCCTTCCCTTCTTTCAAGGAGTTCTAGGAGTGTTGCTGCCATCTTCATAGGAGTGAGGAAAGAAATCAATTGTAGCATCTTACATGGCCCTTTGAATTTATTTAGAGTAGTTATTTTTTATTGCTGTGCTCAGTGATTTGCAAATAACACGGGCATCCTTTTAGTTATGTGATATCACCAGATAAAAAAGATGCATGGCTGTAACAAAGCCCAGCTGAATAGGATGGAGAACTAGCTAAGACATTTGTGTGAGCAAGTAAACTTGAAATGAAATTTTTAAAAAAAGATTAATTTTCACAAGTCAGCAGTTGTCCTATCTTTCATACTCTCTTGCTGTCTAATTTCTGACAAGTGTGAGGATTAGAACCAGTAGGAAATATAATTAAGATAGTTGCTGAAAACACTTTGGTTTAAGAGTAAGAACTGTGAAGATTTTAGATAATTTTTTTCAGGAGACTGAAAAATTATCAGAAGCTATAGCTTAAAAACTTGACTTTCCTTTATCCCCAAAGCTTTAGAACAGTGATGGTGAGCCTTTTAGAAACAAGCGCCCCAACCACAACTCAAAACCCACTTATGTATTACAAAGTGCCTAATGGTGGATTGACAATGGGTGGGCAACCTGTTACACCCAGCTGCACTGAATCAGTGTGGTGCTGGCTATGGGAGGCCCACCTGAGGATTGTTGCCAACAACATCAAAAGGAAAAATGGAGAGGAAAAAGAAGCTGTTGGTGCTCCTGGAGAAGCGGGTTGTGCTGGCTTTTCCGATGTGAACTCAAACGTTCTCGTTGGAGGAGCTTGGTTGTAGTTTACTTTGGGGAAGCTCTGGTCCTTTCTTTGAGCATGGCTTCCTGGCTCCAGAGAAGAAGATGGTGCACTGCCCAATCTCTGGGAGAACCTTGTTGCACTGGCTGGCCTGAAGGAAACTCAGCTGTTCTCATCAGAGGATCTTGGGACCTTGCCCCTGAGGATGGCTGTGGTATTTTTTGGGGGAGCTCTGGTTCTTACTTTGAGCATTGCTTCCTGGCTCCAGTGCATATCCCTCAGCCTACTGGCTTAGAGCCTTCATCCCACTAGCACAGACTTTCTAGGTTCCACCACTGACCTTTGGGCCTTTCCAGTGCAGATCTGTGAAACATTATCATGGGCTCTTGGCCTTCAGTTGGACTGGTGGGGTCATTGCTATGGGTCTACATCTTTAGCTGGACTCAGGCAGGACATTGCTGTGGGGTCCTGGCCCCTAGCTGGAGTCTTTGGGTCTCTAGTGGACAGATTTCCTTCACTATTTTGAGCTTGACTCCTCTTTGAGTGACAACTACAAAATAATTCTATGGATTATGTGTCCTGTATTGTTTCCCTTGCAAACTCTGACGACAATAGTGCCAACACTGCAATTAAATCTGAATACCGAGGCATTAGTTTAGAGAAAAAACTGATACATTAATATCTTTTGTCTTAAAATTACATATGCCATAGGTTCACCACCACTGCTCTGGAATGTACCTTACCCCTTTATAGGTAGCTATGTTGTTTGGTTTCTCTCTTAGTCTATAATTCCTTTGTCTTCAGACCTGAGGAACAAATAATGGTGAACATATGTTTTGTTTAGTCTGCAGAAGTTACCAGCCCACTGGTAGGTAAAATACACTGAGCAGTATTTCTCTGAGAAGACAGACTCATGCAGGAAAAATACTTCACCAGTTTGCCCTATGAATTGTCCCTCTTAAAGCTTTTTACTTGCACTTCACTTGAACTCACATGAGGCCTTACTTTTTGCATGGCCTCTGAGCTAGTAGGAGGATGGAGTGGTCCTTTTTCCATAATTAAGTCTTTGCTGTAACATTTCATTTTGTTTCCGAAGGTGGAAACTTGGCTACTGCAGCTCGAGCAAACTATGCAAGAAACCGTGCGCTGGTCCATCACTGAAGCCATAGCAGCCTATGAGGAGAAAGCCCGGGAACTGTGGATTTTCGATTTCCCAGCTCAGGTAGCACTGACTGGCTCACAGATATGGTGGACTACAGATGTGGGGATTGCCTTCAGTAGGCTGGAGGAAGGCTACGAAACAGCCCTGAAGGATTTTCATAAAAAACAGGTATTTTTGTCTATGGATATACTGTATATATGTTCATACATGATCTGTACTAAAACATGGTTATGTAAATTTATAAATATATTATTTAATGAAAAAATTACCTTAAAAAACCCCAGGTATTTCCATAGACTTTTGGGAACTTGAGGGGGTAAACTTCGTTCATCTATCACTTTCCATTGATTTTTTGGAAAAAAATCCATTTTTTATTTTTTCCATCCTTAGGAATATTGGGTATTGATTTTTATTAAGTAGACTTAAAGTTAAGTGATTCAGTTTCTTCAAAACATTATTTGATTCTAAGGGTTTTTTCTCTTAACTGTCTCTTGCCTACAGTGTGTCCTTTTGATTACTAGATATTGCTGAAAATAGCAAGTGACTTTTATAGGTGTTTATATCAATTTTGCTATTATCGAGTTTGACTTCTGTATTGTATGTTAAAGGTGAAGACCATAAAGAAAATGAAATTTTTTTATAACTTATAGATTTACTTCCCACAGAAAAATTGTTGACAAGCACTACATCTAGTTGTAGGGTATTTTCCCTGCCTTTCAAAGTTACTTAGCTTAAGAGTGAATGAACGTTTTGAATCTTCATTTACATGTTTTTCTTCAATTGTGGAAAATCTTCTCATTTTTTATTTGAGTAGTGCCTTCGGCCCCATTTGTTCTTTTTCCTTCATCTAGAATTTTACTGATAGTAGTGTCTTGGAACTCCTCACCCTCCCTTCTCCTCTATTACTGTATTTCCTATTTTCCAACTCTGAAACTTGACAGTGTAATTCAGATGACCTCTGAAATCTACCTTTGAATGCAGTAACTTTTTGTAGTTTTAGCAGATGATCAAGAAAACAGAATCTAGAGTGCAATTTGAAGGTTTGAATCTGAGCTCCTACCATTTATTTATTAACTGTGAGGCTGTGAGCAAGCTACTTTATTGGTTGAAGGCTTAGTTTTATCATCTATAAACAGGGATAGAGATAGTACCTGCATCGTAGCATAGTTAGGATTAAGTTAGTTAAGCTATGTAAAATGTTGTTAAAAAAAAAAAAGTTGGGGGGCCGGGGAGATGGCTCAGTGGAATAAGCGCCTCCCTGGCAAGCGCAAGGGCCTGAGTTCAATCCCCGGTTCTGAAAAAAAAGAAAGAAAGAAAGAAAGATGCTGTTGAAAGTACTCAGGGGAGTGTGGGGGCAGCATAAGCTCTACAGCCAGGTTGGGGGTCCAGGGGGTGCACACTGGCCGGTGGCATTGAGCCCAACTCCCCTGCCCAGTTACAGATGCCTTGACACTAATACAAAGAATGTTTGGAGTTGAATTAATTCGATATAGAGATGTTGATGAATAAATCCATCCTTAGGACTACTGCTACTGCAAAAAGAATCTAGACTCCCCTTAAAGACTTGAGCTTACACTGGAGCAAACAAAGCTGAGAAAAATGGGAAAGGAAAGAAATGTTGTGGGAAGGACAATTCATTTAAAAAGGGGCAAAATCTAAGCACAGTGTGACCGAGGATTGCTGTTGTGACGCTACTAAACTGATGACCATGACATTAGTGTCTGAAGTGACACACAGTTCACATAAATGTTCCCTAATGAATTATCACAAAAAAATATAGAAAATTTGAAAGATTTTTAGAGTGACATTCAGCCTACCACCTAGAGTTTATTCTCAGTAGTTGGCTTTGTGTTCTTTAACACATGTATTCGTGTGTGTGTGTGTGTGTGTGTGTGGCACTGGGGATTGAACTCAGGGCCCTGCACTTGCCAGGCAAGCACTTATTCTACTGAGCTATCTCCCTGGCCCCTATCACATGTATTCTTAAGGCATTTACCACATTATTTTCTTCACCAGTCCTTTGCTTAATGCTTTATTCATCTATCATCCAGTTTATATTTTATATATATTTTTATATATAAAATATAAAATATAAACTGTCACAGGAAGCTGTAGATATCCATAATTTTGCAGATATGGCTTTTGGGTACATCCTTGTCATTAGGGGAAGGACCTGTATACTCCCCACCAAGCTCTTTTTACCCCTTCCCCTGTCTCTGTTCCCCTTTGTACCTTTCTTATGATCAGCTGTATTCTTTATTTACCTTTGGGTGTATTTTATTTTACTTAAAATTCTCCTATATTAATAAACAAGTTATCCATGTCTAATCCAAATGTTGGAGTTTATTATTATTATTATTATTATTATTAGCATAATTGTCATTGTCAATACTGGTTGGATATATTATTTTTTTAATTTTTTGCTGGATCTGTTTTTTGCAAAATTTTCGTTTCATAATACTATTACAGTAAAGAGCTTGGCATATCACTATTGTACATATTTCTCTTTACTTCTCCATGCTGAATTTTCAGATATAAAATTGCTAGCTGAAACCTTTGGAAGATATGCTGAATTCACCTTCCAGGTATCAGTATACAAGAAGTTTCCAATCCTTCCCCATGAACAACATCTCATTGATCCTTGAATTTTTTTTTTTTTTTTTTGTTATAGCTAAAGATATCATTCAGGGGCTTTGATTTATTAACCTAATTGACACAATTTATCTTTCTTTTTGTTCAATATACTTTTTAAAGTTATTTGGAGCAGGCCAAATAGCTCAGCAGATTAAAGCTTCTGCTTAGGCAGATGCAGCAGCCAGGGTTTGATCCCTGGCATGTTGTGCTGGCCCAGCCCCCCGGACTGCCTTGAGGTGATTGAGATTGGGCCTGGTGGCGCACGCCTGTAATCCCAGCTCTTGGGAGGCTGAACACAGGTGGATCACTATAGGTCTGATCTACGTAGTGAGACCCTGTAGATGCTGTAGACCCTTACTAAATTACAAGACAAAAAAAGTTTTACATTTTGTTCAAAAGTTTGTAATTCTGTGTGTGTGCACGCACATGTGTTTGGTGTGTCTGTTCTGTGCACATGTGTGAGATGAGACACAGGTAGAATCAGTGTGAGTTGTGAAAAAAGCATGTATTTGTTTATTCTATGAGACGTGTTTTGGTAAAAATTGGTTTAATGGATCAGCCAAATTCTTTCAAGATAATATCTTATTTCTGCCGCTGATACTAATGCATATGTTAGAAAAGTTAACCTTTGCGTGCTACTGAACCTCTGGTTTGGGTTATGTAAGCGTGTGCATCTAAATTGAAATCCCCTTAGTGTTTTTCCTTTAAAAAATGAGTGTAACCATCTGCTGGAGTGAGTTTTTAATTAAAATTACTCCTACTAATATCGTGAACAGTTTTTAAAATGAACATTAGTGCTTTAAAATAGCTTAATTTTCCAACTAGAGATCAGGGTTGGCTGTAATTGATGGCCTACCTGAACAAGTAATTTCTTTCCTTAGTTCTTGCTTGCAAATTATGGTGCAATAAATAAACTAAGATAATTATTTTAAACTCGTCCTTCTTTCCCTGAGACCTATTATGACTGAGTGTTTGATAGCATTGGGATTAACAGCGAAAATACAGAATTGCAGATGCACCTCCTTGCATTGTCAGTCCTTGAAAATATGGCAAATAAATTTAATTTCTCAAACTGAAGGTTCCTTGGCAAAAATATTTTGTTTGGAGGCTTGGTACCCAGTGAAAGTTTTTCTTCCTCTGCTCTATTATTGAGCTGTGGGGAAAATCATTAAACAAGAGATGAAGCATTTTGCACTTTAAACAGTAATTGTAATGTGAGAAGGCATTTCCCACAGAGCTTTTGATAATGCTCATGAGAAATAAAACTTTTCTCATTAAGCATCCCTCCCCTCCAACACAAAGACTCCAAAATGCTATGTAAAAGCAAGATCTTTGTTTTGCTGCTTAAAGGCAACTTTGGGCCTCCCTTTTGTTGAGAAAGTATGTTTTAAAAATTGATTATAAAACTGGTAGTGCTTATTTTGGCCTGGCCTTCAGTACCTGAATTGGGAACCTGTCTGTTCTGGTGCTACCCAGGAGACATTCGATACAAGTGTTCAGGGGTGGGGGGTTTTGTTGTTGTTGCTTGTGGGTGTATACAAATATGATCTCATAGCCTCATGCTTTATAATCCACAGGAGTTCACAATAAGATCATGAGGGAAGCACTTTTTACTTTTTTTCTCCTACAAAATTACAGTTGCTACTTGGTAACTGCCAGCTTCCTGTTTTGAATGCAATCAATATGGATTGAAAATGTTAAGAAAAAAGGTGTACTGAACACACACATACCTTTTCATGTCATAATTGCCTAAACAGCACAGTACAAAGTTAATTGCATAAACTTTACATTGTTAGGTATTAGAGGAAATGGAAAGATCCCTGCTTAAGCTATACAGATACCTGCACCACTTTATACCAGTTCCTTTAGTAATTCAGGATCCTTTAATGACAGACAGAAGTGAAAGATTTGTCATTCATGTGTGTCATGAAATTTCAATCTGATCCATTAATACAATAGTTGGGTCTTTGAACAGAGTAACAGCTTATGGCTTTTGTCAGTTAGGGATATAGAGAAAAAATTAGACAGGGAATGAGCACTTCGCTATAAGTAAAAGATTTATAAATCGCTGTACAAGTTTGTGATGTGCTTCACACATAACTGCATGATATTTTACTAGAAAATAAGATTGGAGGGATGATTTTCTTTGAATAGTTTTTCTAGAATCCATTGAAGATGAGGAAGAAAATCTGAATAAATCATTAGCAACCAAAAGAAATGAAATTGTAGCCATGGTTGGTGATGCATCCTGTCTTGGTTGGTGATGCATCCGGTCTTGGTTACTTTTCTCTCCTTGCTGAAACAAAATACCTGACATCCAACATTAAGGAGGGAAAGGCTTACTTAGCTCAGTTTGTGGTGGTTTCCAAGCTCCAAGGCAGAGTGGCCATGGCAGAGGGACCACAGTTCAAGAGGGCAAAAGACAACAAAAGGGGAGGCAGGAGCAAGCCTCCGTTCCTCCCTCAGGTTGTATGCTGGCTGTCTGCCTACACCATCTTCCTGCTGTGTGTTCTCTCACACAAGCTCGGGATATT